TGAATAAAAAAAAGTTACATTAATTTAAAGTTTTATGCTTAGCGGTTGCATTACTTTTGTGAGCCACTGTATATAAATATTTTTTTATAACAATTTTAATGACTTTGATTTATTTATTAGATGTATTCTATGGTTACAATACGATTAATCGCTGCCTTTAACCGATACATTTTCACCGAAAGCCATTTTGCTGACATCTCATTTTACTAATATTTATATTTATTAATATATTTAAATGACATTTATGCAAAGTTTTTTAAATTACAAATCAATCGCAGCTATATATTTTATTTATTTTTTATTAATTCTAATAAGTAAATTCTGATAATTAAGTAACTAAAGTAAGCTTATAAAATAACCTTATGACCAATTTCTCTTAAAATTCAATAACGATAAGGCTTAAATTTTTCTGATTATTTAAATGATATAGATTTTCATAGTCAATATAACGTTTCGCTAAGGGCTCTACTAGAACCTAATTCATCATGCTAACATATGTTTTTGAGCCTAAAAAACATTCATCTCACTGATATCCGTTACAAATTTCACTGATAGGAATTGAATTTTATTGAGCTATTTCAACTTTAAAAGAGATGTCCAATTATGCACCTTAGTTATACTTACATTCTTACCATTATCACTTGAATTTACAAATTTTAGTAAGCAAAAATTGAGTTTAATATTAAACGATTAACCTTCCTGCCCTGCATTTAAGCCGGAATTGAACAATAAATTCGATCTGTGAATGGAACAATTTCAAATTACAGAGTTCCTATTGCCGTATATCCCATAAATTCGTAACCTATTGGTCCAACCGACGTTTATCATACCTTGTGGACTCATGGGTAATTGTGTAATCTATTTTTTACAGTATATTCTTTACAGAAACTTGGTTTTCTTAATACGAAGTAACGTCAAAGTGATTATACAGCAATATATAGTTACTACCTTACTTAGAAGTAGCTTAATCACGGCCAAATAGGTACTATGCAGTGCAGTTACTGCATAGTAAGAAAGCAAATTTTCTGTAAAGTTGATATTAATGAAATTTTATGTTTCTTATTTTTTTTTTTAAAAATGGCTCTTATTGACGTTTACGTTTAGATTTTTGAAATGATGAGATTCATAAACTGATTAATTATGCATATCAAATCTTGTCTCGTGCAAAAAAAATAATATAAAACAAAAGGTTCAATTATCCGAAAATTAGATGATGTATCACTCGTGCAATTAAATGCGTGTCTTAAGGAATTCTTTACATATTTCCACCAAAAGTTCTTTTTTTTCATATTCATCAAAATAATGATAAATTTATGATTTTTACTTCGCTGAAATAATTTAGAAAAGCATAAAAATATATTTAGATTTCGTTACATAAACCGGGATCTTTTTTATTTGTTGTATGTCACAGTTAAAGAATAATAAAATTTTTTTTTAAAAAAAACAAAAATAAAATAATTCACCAAAATTACGAAAAACAAATAAAATAGCTTAGAGTTGTATTTTAATAAATGTTTTAAGTTTTTTTTTATAAAATAATAATAAATCGTACGATATTCTTTATTATTTTTTTAAAAAAAACCTATTTATTTCTATATTTTCTAATTTAAAGGTCTAAAAGTAAAATAATGATGAATGAAAAAATCAATTTCTCTATTTGCTATCATTTACTAAGAAAAGCATTAAAATAGATGTGGAGTTAATTTTATTTAACATATAATCAATAGAAGCTTTATTTGAAGCACCGGCTTCAGCTTCGATTACATCAATATTATCATCCGCTTCGATATCAATTTTATAATCGCGGCATAATTCATCGAAATTCTCTTCGTCGGATTCACGTGCGTCATTGAGAGGAATGGAATTAACTTTGCTTTTTGCTTTAATTTGCTTTTGTTTAGAATTCCAGATATTCTTTAGACTATTTCGCGCACGGAAATTACCAAGTTTGGCTTTCATCTCGGCTTGTAGGTCTTTCCATTGAATATTCTGTTCCGGTTGTGTATGTTCCGGAACCCAATTATAAATAAAATCCTTCTCTTCTTGTGAGAAAGCGTCCTTGCAAACTAAATAAATGGAAATATATTAATCCAATTTCTTATTTACAAAATAATAAGTGACTAAGTTTAATTACTTACGTCGAGGATCAAGTTTGCTCCACCAACTGTTGTTTATGATGCAAAAAAGTTAATTTATTTTTCTCGTTAAAAAAATCTTTATAAATAAATATTTTGTTAAACTTACCGACTAGCAATTTGTTTGGTATCGAAAGGAATCGATTCCATTTTACTTAATATTGAAAATGGATGTTTAACACATTTATTATTGACCATAAAATCTTTAATAATTTGATCTTGCTAAAAAGTAACGAAAAAAGGTTAATATATTAAATTATTTTTCGTTTCCATCAGAATTAACAGTTGTTTTTGCATACTTCTCGTGAAAATTTAGATTTAGATCTCATTATATGTTAATTTTCTGAATGTAATAAGTTTGAATAAGGGTGTAAAAATTAATTAGCGAATTCTTCTAATAATTAAGAAGATTGTGTAGTTGAATATTCATTTATATATCTCGTGAATCATTATATTTTCTAATATTGGGAAGTGGGTGGCTTTTTGAAATATCTTGATAGAAAAGGATTCTTGTACCACTATCAAATAAGTCAACTGTGAGCTTAATCGAATTTCTGCCAGAAAGGGTAAATGATGTAATCAACGCCAAAGGAGGGTACACAAGGTTGGTAACGGCATGTAAATCAATGGATAAATTGGTTATATCGATTTCTGCATAAAGCATCGGAACATAATTTCCGATTGTAACAATAAGAATGGAAATAATACCAATTATATAATGACAGTTACATTTTAACTCTGAAAATTAAATATACTTTATTTTAAACAAAATAGTAAAACAATAAAACATAAGACAAAAGAAAAAAATGCTCTGCTCTATAAAATATAATATAAAATTTCATTCAATGTTGGCATTTGATATGGTTAAACAGCCTACAATTTCTATTGCCACACTGCATAAGTTGATTATAGTTGCAGACAAATCTAATGCAAAAGTCGGAACCCTATGATTCAATTTCGACTTGCGACGGGATTGTTAATAAATAGTTTCAACTCTATGGTTCCGTCGAAATCTAATGGCCATGCCTCGTAAATGTAAAGTTGATCGGATTCTGTAAAAATACAATGCAAAAAATGAGAAATTTTAGCTTTGCATTATAATATTAACAGCTTTACTTCCTTCCTAGAAGAATAACGAAAGAATTATAGACAAGAATTCACCAAATTTGATTTCCAATACAGTTTGTAAAACGTGGTTCCCATTTTTATCAATTCATACGTAGACTCTTCTGTGTATAAAATTCCTTGCTGGCAACAAAAAAATAAGTTAACTGTTTCTAAAATAAAATAAAATAAAATTTGGAATAAAAATCCAATACATTCACCAACTAATGTATCTTTAATATTCGTTATCTTACTGGATTTAACGGTCCATATTGTTTTATTTAGTTTTCGCACTCAAAAGTTAATTAAACAATAAGAAATAAAAATTCTTTCATTATATTATTTTTTTTTATGAATTATTAGACCACATTTAGACTTATATATATACAATTCTATTTAAGCATAATCAACTTGAATATTCCCTTAATAAAATCAATAAACAAACATTATATTAATTATACGCATCAAGTTCAAGTCATACTTGATTGAAATATAATATGTGAAGTATAAACATTAAAATTAAAAATTCTTGATAAAGATCTTATAAAATTCATCTAAATTAGTGGCCTTATGGTCTAAGCAAGATTCTTATTAGCGAGACATTTTGTAGTCAGATATAATAACTAAATACTAGAGAAAAAAGGAATTGACATTAATATACACATACACAATTGCGCAATAATTTTAAAGGTCCCGCTCTTTTCTTATCTTTTTTTTTTGATTTTTGAAAATAATGATGAAATTTCCATATTTGCGTTAAAGCTTTTAATCTTGTACAAGAAAGAGTTAATTAATATTTAGTACGATGCACGGCTTAAGTTTTAACATTGTTAAATTTTTTTATTTTTTTTTTAGATTATTCCATAAGTTTATTTTTTTTTAATTCCCTTAAGCAAAAATCCAAAATCATGACATATTTAAGATTTTACTTCTCTGAATCTATGAATTTATGTCTAAATAATATTGTATAATAAAAAAATAAAGTTCTCTAACTGAAATTTGTGGTTATAGCGTTGCATTTGTGGCGGGCATTCATAATGAATCCTAATTATCTTAATTAAACATTAAACAAACAGCGGTTTATGTTGGAAGAACCAGCTTCAATTGTTTTCATTCCCTTCGTCGTATTCATATTCGTCATCGGGAGAGATGGAATTAACTTCGCTTGATACTCGATTAATTCTCTTAATTCGTCTTTTCTTAGCATTCCAAACGTTTTTTAGATCATTACGCGAACGAAATTTACCAAACTTGGCTTCCATTACAGGCTGTAAATCTTTCCATTGGATAGTATCTTGTGGTTTTGAATATTTCTCGACCCATGCATATATAAAATTCTTCTCTTCTTTTGAGAAAGGTACTTTGCTTACTAAACAAAGAAAAGAAATTAACTCATTTAATTTGCTAAAGAAATTAAACAACTACGAATAACTTACTACGAGGATCCAAAGCATTCCACCAACTAATATTTATGTAAAAAGTTAATTCATTTTTTTTTTTTTTTTTTTTTGTAAAAATATAATCTTGATAAATAATATTTGTTGACTTACTGATCAGCTATTTGCTTGGGGCTATAAGGAATCATTTTGCTTAATGCTGCAAATGGATATTCAACGCTTCCATAATTAATCGCCATGTAATCAATAATAATCTTTTCGTTCTTGAATTAAAAAATTTGTTAAATCGATTTCCATTATAAGTAAAGATAAGGACGTTAATAAATTGTTTTGCATACAGCTTGAGAGAACTTCGACCTCATTTTTTGAATAATTTTCTATAACAATTTTAAATGTAATATGAATATATCAAAAGAGCTTAAAATTTATTAAACGAATTCCTCTAAAATAATCTTCTTTCAAGATGTTTTATCTAAATAAATTTTTTAACTATGCAATTTTCTTTTATAACTCTTTATATTATAGTTTAAAGATTATGAAATTGTGCGATGATCATACAATCATAGATAATGCAACATTATTAATTGTGTTTCTGAAAAGACAACGGATTATCACTTCCGATTGTAACAATGAGAATTGAGAAATGGTTCATGCTTATGTTGTTTTTACTGCATCATTCTTTGAAATTTCTTTAATCTTATTTTATTATTTAAATTAAATCTCGTGAATATGTGGAGCGGTTAATAAACGGTATTATAAAATTTTGGGGGCAAATAAAAAAAATTGTGTTACACAACATAAATGAAAGCAATGGAGATTAGCTTCCGACTGTAATGAGCAAAGAGAAATGGATAAAATAAGAAAAAATTTCAGATGTGTCAAAGCACTGTATGAACATCCTGAACCGGTTAATACTAACCCCAATACTGTAAACATCCATGCGTTAAATTAATATATAATTTTATTTTGATATAATAATTAACATAAAGAAAAGAATGCCTACAACCCTATATATACTCTTTTTCTTTATTATGCTTTGTATATGTATATAAATGAAAGACTCATTTCATATTTTTTTTTGGTTTACATAATAAAAGAATTTTTGAAATTTTCTGTCATAGTTTTTGAATTAATTTTCTTTCGAATTGCAGATAATTTTTTTTTTTGGTTTACTTTTATTATTTTATTATTATTTTTTGTTTTTTATATTTAGGTTTGTTTTTTAAGTTTTGATTTATTTAAAGTACGGGTATATTATTTCTTTCATTTTTTTTTAGTTTTCAATATCATTTTCTATCCTACTTTTGGTTGTAGCAAACCGTTTATTTAAAGTTTGTTGTTTTCTATTTTTTAAGTTTCTTTCAAATTGGATCAGAAAAAACGAGACAAGTCTTTTTTTATTGATCGTGCTTTATTAACTTTATTAGACTTCATCGCTAATTCTTAATATACAGTCCCCGGCGAAAAGAATGGCGGTGGAAGACCGCATCTATTTTTGGCTGCGGTTTCACCACTTTCCGGATTTAGGCATTTGT